CACCCACACCCACACACCCACACCCGCACCCACACCCACACCCACATTGTTCGCATTTGTTTGCTCATATATTTATTTTTGTTTCGATAAATAGCAATAACTTTCTTCTAATGCATACAACCGTTTTTTGTAGTTTCCCTTGGTTTTTACTTCCCGCCGAAGTTTTTTTACATTATTTGATAACTGAGATTTTTCACCACTTGTTTCAATAATGAAATAAAACACACACATATATCAAACAATGTTTCTATGTAATTTTTAACATACATTACTCATACAGATTTCTCTCCATGCTGTTAAACCTGGAGACTCAAGAAATAAATAATAACAATTAATCATGTTATACAGTTACATTTATTTATTTTGTATTTTTTTATTCCCATCACATCATCTTTTATGAAAACGCATATATTTGAAAATGATTTTTTGTTTTTCTTTCCAACATCTAATTAAAGCAAAAACAACAATAATGATAATAAATATTTTGCAATACCGTAGAATAATACCAATCTTCCCATAGATATAAAACAGATAATGAGTCTCTGGACTAATCCATGTGAGTCCATTTTCTTTTCTAATAAACATAGGTCGAAAGACAGTAAAATCCAATAGACGCACAACAGCCTGTTCCGATGATGCAAAAAGTCGTTCTTGAACAGAAACATATAGAGGACCGGCACTAAGTAGCATAGTCCAAAAATGAAAAATATAATAATGATTGAACAGATGCAGTCGAGAAATAAGTTGCCTATACAAAGGATGACCAGCTGTACTTATCAAAAAATCACTTTCAACTCCAAACGAGTCACGTTGAGGAAAAGCAGCCAAATGAGTCGCGTTTGGTTCAAGTGATTCTAGAGTAACTATTACGTCACGAAAAGGACGATTGCAACCGTTGTCCATATCAATATAGATGCCACCCAAGTAAAACAGAAGAACATATCGAAATGAGTCGATACGCTGCATATCATATCGATAAGTTATATATGTTTTTCGATAAAATTGAGGCTCATGTTCTTTGACAAAAGCATCCATTTCAGCATGAGACCAACGACGATATTTAAATTCGCCGAGATTTTTTTCGATAACTGACTGAACTGTTGCATTCCAAATAGAAGGAACAGTGTGTGTACGATATGTTTGATGAATTACTCGAGGAATACGACGTCGAGCAAAAGTAGCATTCGCATATCGAAGAACATCAGTTTCATATATCATTCGTGGTGGTGAACGATATTCTAATGCAAAAAATATCATATAGTAGATTAACCATATAATGAGTATCCCCAAGAGAAGTATACAAAGTGTGAGATTCCATAGTCGCATAATTATTTTCGTAACACGAGCACTGTTCAAAAACCGTTAAGTTCTACTGATAGAATAAATAATACCTTCTTATTCTTCAATTAAAATAGATTTCTAGAAAATGATGAATGTATTTTGGCTATCTTAGTCTCAATGTAGAAGTGAACTCTAGCGTATTTCTTATGATATTGCATAAAATATAAATTACATTGAAGTTTTTTTGTTGTATTTTTGGTTTGTATTTGTGTCTGAAAAAACTAACAACTAGAAACTAAGTACAAAAGATTCCAATGTAACCTATTTTTAAAAATTCTCATGTGAAAAGTTAAGTGATTAGGATAATAAGACCTAGATATAATTAAAAAAATTTTCGCTCCATTAAACTAAAATATTCAAGATACATTCATCGATTTCTCCAGAAACTGTTGGATTTAAGCATATGTCAGATACTACTTATTTAATTAACATTATGTTACATATGGGATATTAATATGTTATTGAAGCATTAAAATATAAAGAGGACAGTTAAAAAGACGTAAGTTTAACGTTTATTTATTTTGACAAGCAAAGTCTGTAAAACCTTAGAATTCTTCAAATATTTAGTACAGGAAAAAAATCAAATAAAGGGTGTAAACTAGTATCCTGCGGGAACGACTTTTTCTGATTCCCATTCCCTATTTCCATCCCCTAAAAAAAAATTTTTGTTCCCATTCCCTTTTTCCCATTCCCTAGAAAAAATTTTTTGTTCCCATTCCCACGTTCCCATTCCCATAGTTCCCATAAGATTTTCTAAGGCTCTGTTCATCTATGCGAAAGTGTCATTGGCATATATGTATACCAGTTTCTCGCAACATCACGTTTTGCGCATCGCGACGCTGTTACATAATGCTTCACTTATTTTCTTTTTCTGTTTTGTTGTGCTTGTTGGCATTGGTTAAGCAGGTGTTCCTGCATATATGCATGATACATTCAAGCTGGTGTGCTTTTTCCTTAAAAAAGTGTTCCACTGTGTAATTAGAAAATGTATAGTCCAACATAGTGTTCATCATATAGAGAGAATGTTCCTCTTATAGTAAAGTGTTCCCCTCCCCTCACCCAAATAGAAAATTAAAAAAATTATAGATAAATATTGAGATTATTTATTGATAAATCGTTTGTTTTTTT